TCCCTACACTTGCTTCCTTTAAAGTTAATCATAGACAATACATTTTTTTATACAAAACACTTTAATTCAGCAGACAACTAGTCTGCTATGGCGTTATGCTTTTTCTTCGAATCTTCGTTTCTCTCCTCCCCCCACTCCTTCGTTTTCTTTCTCTCTCATTTACTTGCGTACACAAGCTATCTTTTCACGTACATCCAAATATAATAGCTATTATCCCCTTTTTCTGTTTGTCCTAATATGATTACAAAATAAAATTAGAAAACTTGTAGTGTAGCGAGGAATAGAGAAAGAAGAGAGAAAGAGAGAGAGAAGAATAGTCAGTATATAAGAAAAAGCAAAGCGCAGTTATTTCGTAGTCACCAGGATGTGAGCAAAGAAATTATTGTTATGTATGTCCTTTGTGCTATTCATGTTTAAGATTGTATATTATAAAGAAAATAATATTAAACATTTGCACAGTATTTTTTATTATAAAGCATTTTATAAAAATATTGGTACTGAATACTATGATAATAGTAAATTTAGGACAATAGTTTTGTTTTTAATAATTTATGTATTTATATATTGAAGGCCTTTGAATGAGTTTATACATCACAATATAATATATTAAATGCATCAAATTTCATATTTGATTATACCAATTTGATTAATAAAAAAATATATATAAATGTTAGTGGAATTATAACTTTAATTAATAAATTTGACTAAATTAATCATCTTGTATTAGTATTTTATTATATGATAGCATAATATGATTAAATAATAGTTTGTAAATGTGACAAAAGTATTATATTCATGTAAAAATATTAAATATTTTAAAATCATTTTTATGTTTTAAATGTGATAAATATAATATTATCTTATTATATCTTTCAATTACATTATTCATGTAGGGTTAAAAGGTTTCAAAACATTTTTATATTTATTTAAAATTTTAAAGTTTTGTTAGAATTCTAATAATTTTTATTTGTATGATATTCAAGTATATTATTTTTATTTACAATATTATCTATGGTTGTTGAATGAATAAATTGTATAATTTTATCATTAAATTTTATCATTAAAAATATATGCTTTTAATAATAAATTAATTATAAAGCAAAACTATTGAGCTAAAATCTAAGTAATGATTATATTAGAATACATATTCATATTTATAAAACATATATTATTATTAAATTAACTATATTTTTAATTAATTTTTTTTATAGGAAGTTGCAATAAAAATGGAAAATATGAGAGCTCGTCATCCTCAATTGCTTTATGAATCTAAATTATATAAGTTATTACATGGTGGTATAGGAATACCCCATATACGTTGGTAAGACTAATTATATTAAAATTATTAATAATCTTTGATAACAATACATATAAAATATAAAAGAGTTTCTTTTTAAGTTTATAAAATTATATTTATGAATAAATTTAGATAATTTTTGTAAATATAAATTTTTATATATTTTGTAAACAAATATTACTATAATAGCAACTAAGCATAAAAAAATTTAATCATACAATTATATTATTTAACTTTCTGTTTAGCCTTATGATCTTGGTAAATGTTTTTTTATCTCATTATTGTCTGATGAAAAAATTAATAGTACATAATAATATAAATTTGTATTTATAATTATTATATTATCTAATAAATGTAAAATAAGTAGTTATTTTTATATAATTAAATTGTCTTATAAATTAATTTATTAAAGTTAATCTATAGAGTAGTATTAATCTTAATAATAATTATTTAGTTATTTTTAAAACGTTTTTTATTCTAGGTATGGACAAGAACGAGACTATAATGTACTTGTGATGGATTTATTGGGTCCTTCGCTCGAAGACTTGTTTTCTTTTTGTTCTCGAAAATTTACAATTAAAACAGTTTTAATGCTTGCTGATCAGATGATAGGTAGAGTTGAGTTTGTTCACTGTAAACATTTTATTCATAGAGACATTAAACCAGACAACTTTTTAATGGGTATTGGTCGTCATTGTAATAAGGTAATTAAGTTTGTATAAGCAATTTAATATTTATGTAAAATAATTTCTTGAAGATAAATTTGAATTCCTAGTTTTTATTAATTAGTATGTTTTAAAATTGTTTCATTCTTTGAAAATAATTCATTTGTAGTTGTTCCTCATTGATTTTGGGTTAGCTAAAAAATATCGTGACACACGTAGTCGTATGCACATAACGTATCGTGAGGATAAGAATTTAACGGGTACAGCGAGGTATGCTTCGATTAATGCTCATCTAGGTATTGAACAAAGTCGCCGGGATGACATGGAGTCACTTGGATATGTGCTTATGTACTTCAATCGGGGCTCATTGCCATGGCAAGGTCTCAAAGCTGCAACAAAAAAACAAAAATATGAAAAGATCAGTGAAAAAAAAATGTCAACACCTATCGAACTTTTATGTAAGGTAAGAACTAGAAATTTTCAAATTTTATTGAAAGATTAAGTACGTTATAATATATTATAAATATAAATAGAAGAAATAAAAACAATAGCATATAAGTGTTGAACATATTAATATAATTTTGTATATTTTATAATACATTCATTTCTAAAAAATTTATCGTTAAAATTTTTTAATATTTAAAATTATATATTAAGGATATTTAAAGTACCTTAAATTTAAATTTATTTTTAATAAATTGCATTAAGAATTATGAATGAACTGTTAAAAATTCGCTGCAATGGTATAATTATTTTAAATTACTAAATTATGTTATTTTCTTCAAGAATGCAAACTATTTTTATTTGTGCGAGATGTTGATTGATTATTAAATATTGTAAATATTTTGTTCTTAAATTATCATTGAATAAAAATCTAATCTTTTCAATAATATTTCGTAAAGATAAATTTTGTAATCTTTTCAGGGTTTTCCAGCAGAATTTCCAATGTACCTAAATTATTGTCGAGGCTTGCGTTTTGAAGAGGGTCCAGATTACATGTACCTGCGCCAACTATTTCGTATCCTCTTTCGTACACTGAATTACCAATACGACTATACGTTCGATTGGACGATGCTTAAGCAGAAAGTTGCTGTTAATATGAATAATGGTGTAACGACGACACCCGGACCTGGACCATCGCAGCTAGCGCAGGTCCAAGGAGCGAATCAGGGCCAACCGCCTGCTCAAGCAGCTACTCAACCAGGTATGCATGGAAACAAATATATTTGATATAATATGCACTTAAATAAAATTTGCAACAAAATATATGAACATTTTCTTTATAATTTAAAATAATTGTGATTTGTTGTATAATGATAAAAAAGTAATAGTTAAATAATTTCATTTTTAATTAAAAATAAAATATTTTCAATTTTATTTGATAGAATCTACTTACGAAAATATTACTACATAATTTAATTAAATTTATAATTAGTCAATTATAAGTATAATTCTATATCTTATAATGTGCCAATGAACGATAAATGCAACATTTGCAATTATTAATTCTTTTTAATTGATTAAATATGAAAATTTAAATGGAAAGTAATTAGATTATACACTATTCTTGTTTAATTATAACCTCATACTACTATGTATTGTACGTGTTCATATTTCAATTTCTATTTCATTTATAAATTATTTGAATATATTAACATTTATCCAATTTATTAATAATTAAAATATTAAATAATTTTAGTCATCTTAGAGTCGCCAATCAGAAGTTAAATATATAAATAAAATATTTTCCATTTCCTTCTACAAATTAAAATTTTTATAAAGAATGAGTAAAGTAATTCCTTTATTTTTAATATATATTGGTATGCATTTACTTTTATTAATATAAGTATAGAAATATAATTTTTATTGAATTCTAAAGTATCTGTTAAATCATAACTATTATTGTGTTATATATTATATAAATTATACCATTTATTTTTATGGAATGTTGTTTTAAATTATATTAGAAATGTAGATATGGATAAATTTATCTTTAAATAATTTTTTAAAAAACAATTTTTATTTTATTATTTTTATTTATTTATTTATTTTCTTATACTTTATTTTCATTTGATATGTTTATTCAATTATGATTTCGTTATTTTGTAATAAGTTTACATATATTGGCTATTTCTATCTCTATTTTGTTTGCTTTTGCTTAAAGACTTTATCTACAGTCCTTAAATATCTGTATAATTTTTTCCATTTTTATTTCAGGAACGCGTTAAAAATTTGATTCTTCTGTTTCGTGTTAGCACTAAACCTGAGAGAAAGAAAAAAATAAGCGCGAGAACGCTAATATCGTAAGTATATAAATAAAAGAAAAAAATTTAAAAAAAATTAATAAACAAATGTGGAGAGAAAATTCAGAATCATACTCTGAGAAGAATATGGCGACATTAATTCGAAGATAACTAGATGATCAAGCGAGAATCTTAGTTTCTCATTGTAACGCATCGAACTACGAATAGAGAAAAACTGTTCATATAAATTTAAAAAAATACCGCGTATTGGAACTCAGTTTCGTTTGATCAATGAACAACTTCGTGTTGAAGAAAAATCAAGTGTAAAGATAGCTTCTCATTCACTTTTTGTTATGATGACTATTTAATTACATCGTTAGCGTACAATCATTTAATCTAAGTTGCAAGGTCCCCAAATGTTTCAAGAGAGAAAACAAAATAATAAGATAATAACAGTCTTCGTCGATATTATGTATGACACAATCCCCATTATTTTGAACACCCACGTACATTTTATTGGAGTCCATTTTTCCAAGTGATTTACAATTTAAAGTACAGTAATATATAAATTTATAAAAGTTTGTATACGTGTGTGCGTGTGTGTGCGTGTATGTATGCGTGGGTGCACGTGTGCCTGTATGTATGAATGTATGTATGTATGTACGTATGTACCATCCACATACACATATATACACACAAATTTTATAGAAAGAGAGACTAGGAATATTCGAGTTTGCGCGTCGATATTAGACAAAAGGAAATAATTATATATTAGGTTGCTACAAAAATTCTGTTGCATTTCTAATGCAACTATATTATTTTTTATTCCGTAATTCATAATAAATTGTATATAATAAGTATATTACAACTATTTTTAAAATTTTTTGGCATTTAGAATGTATAAATTTTCTAGAACATTATATAAATTAAGTTTTTTTTATGATTAAGAATTAATGAAACAATTTATGGCGTAACCTAAAAATGTGTAACAAATACTTTACATTGAAACATGATGTACTTATTATATGCAGATAATTTTGTCTAAACAAAATTTATGAAAATGACTTTCAGTTAATAAATACTTTTACATTTCTTATTATAATAATACATCTTTATACAAAATTAAAATCTGTAAATGACATCTTTTAAAATTGAACAGAGATTATTAATAAAAATATATTAAATAGGTTTTTAATAAAAGTTATCGAATAACTTGCAAAAGTGGCAGTAAAATATTCATTAGAAATTTGTAATACATTTCTATATAATGTACAAATAGTCAATTTGATCTTTGCACAAGTTTTTTCTTATTTTTTTTATTTTATTTTTTCTTAAATTACGTTTAATAATTACATAAAACATATCTTCAAAGACAGTTGCATATTTTAGCATTAATAGGTTTGAAAAAATAAATGATTATGAAATACGGAAATTATGTTTCTATATAATTTAAAATCAATATATTTTTTATTCATATTTCAAAAGTTACAATTTAAATAACAATAGAAATTTTGTATGAGCCTAATTAATAACAGTTTTATAATTACTCTTTAAATCTAAATTAAAATAAAGCATATTTATGTACAAATATGCAAAAGTTAATACATATATAATTCGTTCTTTAAAATAGTATATAAATATGAAAGTTTGAGAATGTGAAAAATTCTTTCTAGAAATTACTATATGAGACTGTATATCTACTATTTGTGAGGACAAAAACTGAAGTTTTCAGAGTTAAATCTATTATTAATATTGTGTGAATGAATTAATGTACTTTAAAAGAAAAATAAAACCTATTAATGTTAATATAGAATTAATTTTTATTTATATAATGAAAATAATAAAATTAAAAATATATCGACAGTCGCATACAATGATTTATTGATACTTTTTCACTGTCTCTCTTTCGCCATAATGAAGGATCTGTAAGCAAAACTAATGCATTAAATTATTTAAGTTAATTTTTTAATTTTTCATTCCTAATTACATACTATTTGTGTATAATAAAAATATTTTTAAACACTTTTCCCTAAAAATTCATCATATTGTAAATATTAAATCAAATTTATTTAACAATTAATTAGTCTGATGTACTGATTACATTTATTTAATAATTAATGCGTTCATTAGCATTTATTAGTATATATATCATTTAAAATTTATTTTATTTTAATAATTCTTAGTAACTTAAAAATTCTTTGTTCTATCAACATAGAACTACAATTCTCTATTCTAAATCACTTTCATATAAAAAGTATATTCATGCTTTACCTTTTCAAATTAATTTTCATAGTTGTTTAAGAAACATTAAATTTTGGGTAAAATTAAAAATTTTTCAACTTGTATTTTAACTACATATATCGAATTTAGATATATATATTAATACAGTTCACTGTATTTACGAATATTGAGACATACATTTAAAAAGCTTTTTAATTTCTCTTAATTCTGTACTTTCTTTGGGAGCTATAAATTATTTAATATGTTTCAAAAATTATTTTGTGCTTACAAAATTACAAATGATTAAAAATAGTATATTATTTAATAAATATAAACAAATTTTATTTTGTAGTAGTATTGCTTACGATCTTTCTAAGATAATATTATATTTTCAGTAGCATATTTTCGACTTTTTTTAAGTGTCTTATCATTAGACACTAATATTATGTAATGTCTCAAAAGAAAAAATTAAAAAAGAAAAGTTCATTGCTTGCCTCTTACTTTTATGTCTATACTTTTTTTAATATTTGAAGAGGTATAAAATAAAAATTTAGGACAATTTTATTTTCGAAAATAAATTGATAAGTTAAATAAATTATAAAATTGTATTTTAATCTGAGAAAGTATCCTTTATTTTAAAAAATAGGCTGATAAGCTATTAATGAAATTATATTAAAAAAATTTTAATAAATACAAAGATTTAGAAAAATTTGTATCAGCATTTTAAGAAGGGTATTCTTTAAAAATAAAGGGATCTTATTTTGTGTACATTTTTATCATTGTGTTTATTATTTTCATTAAAGGAATTAAAATACATAAAAATTAAAAATAATAATTTACTTCTTTATAATAAATGTTTGACTTATTGAATGCATTGTATGTGGCACCATTATCACATAGAATTGACAAATGAAAAGAAAACTCATTATTAATCACAATGCAATTTCTGTTTAATGAGAAATAATTTCAATGATAAATTATATTATCATATACTGCCACTTTCAATATTAACTTTATATTTGATAGATGCTGAGATACAAGATTAAATTGTTTTGATTCCAAAAATTGCAGCAAATTAAAAAATGTATGCAGAAGTATAATATTTTATTTTTCATATCTAAAAAACTATTTCTATTTTAATTCTTCAAACTTAATATTATAGACTCAAGAATGTGAAAGTGGGTAAAGCAAATTAAAGTATATCTTTAAATAATATAAATTAGAGTTCATACATATAAACAATAGTGAAGAAAGTATCATTGATGTCTATATTACGTTCAAATGAAGCAATTGTTAGAAAGAATTTTCAAAAAAATAATTTATACAATTTTTAAAATTAATGATATTGCTATAAAAAAAAGTGTAGGATTCAAACTATTATTGTGTCAGTTAATTAAAACATACCCATATTGACAGTATAAATTAATATTTTATAATATCAAACAATGTCATGTAAAATATATATAAATTCGGATTATATAAGCATTTTATGCACTCATATAGACTTTGAAATACAAATTTTATTTATTCAATTATAAAATTAATTCATATAATTTAATCTTTGCCCTTAATGATAAGTACTTTTTTAAGTACTATGCTATTTCTGTTATTTCTGTTCTCGAAAAAAGAATGAAGAGTTAAATATTGGATTTTATTAAAAATTTTAAATATAATTAAGAAAATTTGCTAATTTACACAGATATCTGTAAATACATTTTAAAAAATGAAATTTTCATTCGATTTATTAGCATAATTTCAATAATAGAACAGTTTTATTTTTATAAATGGTAATGAATTATATGTTGAAGATATCTCTAATATTAGATATTTTAAATTAATCTTTGAAATAATCTATAAAATTATACTATAATTCTACTAAATTTACCTGAAGCCTATAACTCGGGTTTAGAAGAATTCTCATTATAACAATTATCCTGATGAAAAAATTTATTCACTTATTAAAAAATTCTGCATAATTTAAAATAATAATAAAAAAAGTTTTGAATATTTGAATATATAAATTTTTAAATTTAAATTGAAAATATAGGTTACAATAATTTATAATCGTATATAATTTATTTCTTTAAATATTGTAAAAATATATGTTCATATTTATATTTTTAGCAAAATTTACAAAGGTTAAAAAAAGTCTGCAATGAATCATGTATTTTAGTTTCAATATAAATTATTATTAATTATTTACGTATCTCTAGCCAAAAATGCATTGTATATGACATTGCCTTTGTGTCATACTCATTAAAATTGTATACACGTCCATGAATTACGCTTTAAGTTATGTAAATGTCAGATTCAACATAACAAGTTGATCTATTATGGAGGCTGCGAAGAATATCAAGTGATATAAAATGATGAATAAAAAATTGCCTCAACTAAAGTTGATAATCACATTAGAGAAATATTATTATATGAAAAGAGAATAATAATAAAGATGAAAATAAAAATTAAAAAAATTAATTTCTAAACTTGTAAAATGATTATGAAACATAAAATAACTATGTTTAAATCAAGTTGGTTAACAATTCAATAAGAACAATAGTATGAGTGAAAATAAGAATGAATGAAATTATGCATTATGAAAGTGATTTGTCGGTGAAGTGATAAGTTAATCATTAATGAATTATTAATTACATATGCACATGAATACTATTCAGTATATATTCTATAATTACGAAAATGTGACAGTAATTAAAGACATGCGTTATTTCATAAATACTGAAAACTACATCAAAGGTTTATTGCTCCCTTTGTCTCTATGAATAAAAACATCAACATTGTACAAACGAATTTTTTAATTAATTATAAAACCTCCTCTTTAGTATTTTATTAAACTAATATATTTTTATTATTCGACTCTAAATAGTTAATTTTTGAGATTTATATTTTTTAAATAAAAATTTAAGAA